TGAGAGTGTATGGAGATTCTGCCTTGGCGATCTATCAGCTCTGAGAAGAGTGAGAGACAAAAGATACCAAGCTGGTAGAATACAAAAAACTCATTTTGGATCTACTTAAAGAATTTGATGAGGTCATTTTCCATTACGTTCCAAGAGAAGAAAATCAAATGGCAGATTCTTTAGCTACCTTAGTAGCAACACTCAAGGCTGGTGGGGAACCTGACATGATGTCAATCGATATGCAATCATGAGTACCCGACTCATTGTTATTAAATTGAAGAGGTAAAAGATAAAACACCATGGTACCATGACATTATGCAATATATCAAAAATCAAAGCTATCCGAATGAAGACATTAAGTCTGACAAAAGGAAAATAAGAAGAATGACAGTCAGATATGTTCTTTATGGAGAAGTCTTATACAAGAAAAATCATGATCAACTATTGCTAAGATGTATAGATGTAGAAGAGGTAAAAATAATCATAGAAGAGGTACATGATGGAGTATGTGGAATACATACAAACGTGCATATGATGGCAAGATAAGTTCTGAGGTGCTGATACTTTTGGTCCACATTGGAGAGTGACTGCATCAATTATGCCAGATGATGTCATAAGTTCCAAGTCTACAGGGATAAAATAAATGTTACACCTCGTCCACTTCATGTGATGACGTCATCATAACCCCTTTTCCATATGGGGCATGGATGTTATTGGACAAATCCATCCAAAAGCTTCAAACGGTCATCGATTCATTCTTGTGGCAATTGACTACTTTACCAAATGGGTGGAGGATGCATTATATGTCAGTGTCACTCAGTCCACTATTTGTAAATTCTTGAAAAATGAGATCATATGTCAGTATGGTTTACCAAAAAGGATCATTACTGATAATACAACCAATTTAAACAACAAGATGATGGATATTACATGTGAATAATTCAACATAAAGTCTCACAACTCTATAGCTTATCGACCAAAGATCATTTGAGCGGTAGAAGTAACAAATAAAAATATCAAGAAAATAGTGGAGAAAATGACTGAGACATAAAAAAATTGACACGAGAATTTACTTTTTTCCTTATTTTCTTACCGAACTTCGGTGCAGATTTTGACTAAGGCAACCCTATTTTTATTAGCATATGGGATGGAGGTTGTATTGCCCATTGAGGTGGAAATCCCATCACATCGGGTTTTGTCACAAGTTAAATTGAATGATGCAGAATGGGCGCAAACTCGATATAATCAATCTGAACCTAATAGAAGAAAAAAAGTTGAAAACCATTCACCATGGTCGACTTTACCAAAAATGAATGATTAGAGCACACAACAAGAATGTGCGCCCATGAGTATTCCATGAAGGAGATCTCATACTGAAAAAGATATAGTCAATCCAAAAAGACTTCAAAAGAAAGTGGATGTCAAATTGGGAAGGTCCTTATGTCGTGAAAAAGACCTTCTCGGAGGAGCACTTATCCTGACTGATATGGATGGGCCAGAACTATCAAATCCTGTAAACTCTGATGCAATCAAGAAATATTTCGCTTAGGGTGAAAACCTGAAAGTGCACTCTAAGTTGAAAAAAAGAGGTTTAGAGTGAAAACCCGAAAAGCGCTCTAAATAAAAATGAAAAATATAAATAAAAGGTGAGTCTAAGATGAAAACTCGCAAAGGGAATCTTGAAACTGATGGAGGATCTAGGTTTAAAACCTGAAAGCCAGCTTGGGTAATGATCCAGGATTCACGCATGGGAAGGTCCCAGATCAAGGTAATAAAGCATCACGACATCCAAATCTTCAGAGGACTTGGTCATTTGGGAGGAGCTTTGCACTTTTCCAAATGTTGTCACATCTTCGAAGTCCCCTTGATAAAGTTGCACTCAAAAGTCATCTAGCGGCGTGTCAGTTCAAAAGCGTCCATATTATCGAGATCTAGGGCACCTATTTGTATTTCTAAATAACTTCATTTTTTATGTTTATCATGTATTTTATTTTTCAACATAAATAAATATAGCCATTTGTCTGAGAGAAATCAACTCCTTAACATCTTGCATTGAATTTAAATAATAATAATTTATTCACTTTTGAAAAGATAATTGTGTATTATTGTACAAAGATTTTTGAAAGGTACAAGAATTTGGAAGCTGATAGAAGTTCTTGCACCATACTCGAAAGAATGGCATGGATACTAGGCATTAATAAAAAAATTAAGATTAGAAGCAAAACTTCTTTCTAAAAATTCTCGGAGAGGATATCAGATCAAAACTCGTTGAGGATCAAATAATCCAAAATCAAGAATCAGAAATTCAAGATTGGCAGGGATCAAGAGACGTCATAAAAATCAAGACTGAGAGTAAGAGATTGAGATTTCTCTATAAAAATCCTAAAATAACACACTTCACATATACATTTTAGGCATACTGCATTTATAACATTGTACATATGCATAACTTTCGCAGATTTTTATCAAGAGTCAATTTCAACTTCGTAATGAAGGATATTGAACTCGAGAACACTCAAGGATTAAGACAATACAATCCATTCAAGTTAGATTTCAAGTTCACGGTGAAGGATATCCGGCTTACAAAATATATTCAATTTGGACTCAACTTCATGGTGAATGAGTAACCTATGATTTTAACTTCACGACAAAGGACATCATGCCTAATAATCGACTTAACTTCACAGCGAATGAGTCATCTACTACAACGAGGAACTATCTCTCAACTAAGGTCATCTAGTCAAATTCCAACTTCACGATGAAGGGTATTGGGCTAGAATGAGACGTTGAGGGCTTACTGCCTACTACAGGCATCGAGCTAGATTGCAACTTTATAGTGAAGGATATCATGCTCGATTGACTCAACTTCATGACAAATGAGTTAACCACAATTTCAACTTCATGACGAAAGATATCATGTTCAAAGACATCTCAAGATCAACTCAACTTTACGACGAATGTGTCACCCGAAATGCGGCTCAACAACAGGGAGCCATCTTCTATTTTTAAGTCGAATTTCAACTCTACGACGAGGATATTCGATAAAAGAGTCTACTGTAACACTGATTTGGATTTTAAACTCAGAGATCGACAACCCTCATAGAAACATGCTTACTTTCAAGTCCATTTGTACCAAACGAAAATTTGTGTCTTCTTGTCTTTGCCCTATTTTCGTTACACAACAATGGGCAAAGAGGGGCAACTGTAGACATCCATTTTCGTCCGAGTCTTTTTTACATTATATAATATATATGATAATATATATATAATAATAATAATTTCAAAATATATAATATATAGTTTTTGAAGATATAGTATAGTTTTTGAAAAACATGTTTTTTGAAAACATACAATATATAGTTTTTAAAAAATGGTTTTTGAAAACATATATAATATAGTTTTCGAAAACATATTTTTGAAAACATATAATATAGTTTTTAAAAAATGGTTTTGAAAACATATATAATATAGTTTTTTAAAAACATATTATTTTGAAAACATATATATATAGAGTTTTTTAAAAAGCGGTTTTTAAAAACGTATATAATATATATAACCTTTGAATATATTATATATTATATAGTTTTAATACATATATTTTATTTTCCATTTTTATCTTTATCTTTATTTTATTTTATTTTATTTTATTTTCATGTCCAAATTAAGAGTCAAAATCTGGGTCCAGCAGGCCTGATCCAGCCCAATAACCCGAGCCTATCTGCCTGACCCAGCAGGGGCTAGGGTTACACACTTTAGCAAGGGCGCCGCACGGGAAGGCCAAACAGCGCATGTGGAGGCCACACACCAATAACCAGTCGAGATTCTCGGCCAAGAAACCCAGGACTGAACATCCCAATATTTCTGGCCACACGAACAACCAAATAACCCGCGAATAACGAAGACGAGGGAAACAACTCCGTCAGAAGCGGAAACAACCAGCTGCGCTATCAAAACACACGAGGAAAAATGAAACAAATGGCAACCACAATGATAACAGAGACAAAAACCAAAAAAAAAAATTGAATTGGTACCAAAAGGGCAGTGCATAGGTGTTAATCTTTCTGATTGTAATCGACTCCCGAATCCGATTATTTTCTGGTAAAAATGAAGATCATGTAAAGTAGTAAATTAATGTATCAATAAACCTAATTTTAAATAATCAGTGGCGGCTCTTACACATTAAATTTAAGTTGAAGCCCGATTTCAGATCCACCCGAAGAACGGTTACGACATTACTATTAATATTTACTTAATCAATATATTAATTCGTATTAAATATTATAAAAATAATCAATATAAAATAGTTACTTTAACTTTAAATATAATTTTATTATAACAATTTATTTTTATATATTAGCAATAGTTAATGTAATTAACATGTTCCAATTCAGTATCGAGGTCTGAACAGACTCAAGTCATCTTCTGTAAGGAAAACACTATAAATCTTCTCTTCAACCTTTGGCTTTTCCTCAACGTCTAGTTCTTTTTTCTTTCTTTATTTTTCATATCACCCCGTCAAAGGCCTTCGAATCTAAAGAAGTGAAAGGTTAATTGTATTTCAGGTAAACGAAATGAAAGCAGGCTTGGTTGTGGATGGTGATTATGTATACGAAGAAGAGAAGCATCTAACTGTTCTCAAAACTTCGCTCTTCTTCGCCAACGATGGTTTCACTGTTTACGATTGTAAAGGCCAGTTGGTTTTCCGAGTCGACTCGTACGGTCCTGACCCTCGTGACAAAGCCGAAGTTGTTCTTATGGATGCTCATGGAAGATGCCTACTTACTGTTAGAAAAAAGGTAAGTGATTTGACTTGGTTTGTTTGAATCTGTAACCTGTTTAGTGAAATGGAAAGGTAACTGGATTTGCTTTAATGAGTTCTTTTATGATTTGATTTGGATAAATTGGTATTGATTTGATTTCCATGTTGTTCAAGAAACGTTGATAACTCGTTCATGGAGTGTTCTGACATTTAAACGATTCACTCTGTTTGGCTGAATCTGTTTACTGAAATGGGACCATATTTGGGTTTGCTTTATTGGGTTCTTCAATGATCTGATTTGGTTAAATAGGTATAGATTTGATTCCCATATGATATAAAAAAACTTTGGTAACTCGTTCACGGAGGATTTTTACCTATGAGTCAACTCGCCCAGATATTTTTCCTTCTCCTTCTGTATTAGTTTTGATTGTCTAAACCGAGTCAAATCGTCCGTCATTTGATGGGGGCATTAATCTATTTACGCGCGCCGGGGTGGGTGGGATATTTTTAGTGTTTGTGAGTTAACTCACTGATAAAATCTTATAACAGAGGCAGGGTCAGAAACCGGTCTTCAGTGCGAAAAGATCATCGATAATCGGACTGTGTGGGATGACAGTGGAGGTGTTCAACAATCCCGGGGAGGAGTACCAGATTGAAGGAAATTTCGGACAGCGAAGTTGCACGATTTTCGATGCGGCAAAGGTATCAGTGGCTGAGATTAAACGCAAAGTTGATGCTTCCGCTAACGTGGTGCTTGGTAAGGACGTTTTCTCGCTTTCCTTGAAACCTGGTTTTGATGGGGCCTTTGCTATGGGCTTGGTACTCGTTCTTGATCAGATCAACGGTGATGATTATGTGGAAAATGATGAGGCTGAGATGAGCCCTACCGCGGAGGATTAATGTGCTGTGTATTTTATAAATATTGGCCTTGGATCTCTTTTTCTAAATAAAAATGCTTGTATATTATTACAATACTAATAAGAATTACTCTTGAAGAAGATCAACATTCTTTTTGTTTCTATAAGTATATATTAGGAGAATGGCGAAATAAATAAGAGAACATATTAATATCTGAGTTTAATTTAATTAATTAATTTTGATAATTTTGGAAAATGGCTTACAACCACCTGTTTACTGTTGTAAATTATTTCATATTAGCTCGAATCAAACGATTTCGGTGATAAATAAAAAGTTATTCTTTGAAGTCTAATATTTGAGCATCATAAATAGAGATATAAGTGTTTAATGTTGATTGAGAATTATTTTTATATAAATACTATCCTATATTTGCTCTAAATTAATAAAAAATACATTTCATATCAGCGTGTAAATTATTATTTTTAAATTAAATATTTTATTATAAAATAAATACTGCACATGGATATACTTGTGTCTTAAAAAAAATGAGGTTCATATATCAAGTAAGATCAAACACCATTAGTATATAGTATTTTAAATCTAGCTCAAAAATTAAAATATCATGTTTCGATTTAGCTTAATTCATGTGAAATCTGAATGAATAATCCAATCAAATGTATGGGTATATTTGCACGAACCAAGTGATCTCCGTAATAAAAGAATTATTGTTATTCTTTGAGAATCTGAGTTCGAGCACCATAGATGTTAGGGATGTGAACGTTCAATGTGGAGAGATTGAGAGTTATCTTCGAAAATATACTATCTTGTACTTACCACAAATTAATAAAAAAATATGGGCATATGTAATATTCACATTTAAATATGAGAAAATAACATCAGTGACCAAAAATGCCTTATAATATACGATTTTAATTATATTTTTTTTGGATTTGCCAAAATGACCAACTAAATCGCAATGCGATCGATAATTCGCAACGCGATCTCCGGTATCGCAAATCAGTTTCCAGATTCGCAACGCGATTCTGACTATAGCATTGCGATTTTCTGAATTCGCGTTGCGATTTTCCGAATTCACAATGCGATTATGTATCGCAATGCGATTATGACTATCGCAACGCGATTCTGACTATCGCAACGAGATTCTGACTATCGCAACACTGAATTTCAAATTCGCAACAGGCTTTAGTTTCACAACACAAATGTTTTGGGTATATAACTACGTAGCATAAGCAACTCATAACCTAAATCCCTAAATCGCAACTCATTCCATCTCCATCTATCACTCTCTCCAGCGACATTCGTTCCTATATCCAACGACATCATTCCCCATCCGGCAACAGGTTTTAGTTTCACAGCTCGTTTGTTTAGTAAATTAATTTACAATAATGAAATCATCTAATGTTGATCATGTTTGGATAGATTTGTGTTTTGGAGGGTCATGGGAGAATATTCATGGTGTTTTACAATATATGCCTTTACCCATGAATCTTCAACTAAAATTGTCATTAAAAAAGTTAACTTATGAAACTCTAATGTTACGTGTTGCAAATAAATTGAATTTAGAGCCCTTAAGTGGATTTAGGCTATCTTATCAGAGAAAATGTAAAGTTTATTTGTTAACTGACAATGAAGATGTTGAACGATTCATTACTTACATTAGTGTTTCGCAAGATGATGTTACATTGTATGTTGTTGAACCTAGAAGTAGTGAAGTTGGGTCAGTAGTGGGTAGTAATCAACTAAGTTTTTCAACCCCAGTTTATGGTGCTCAAAATTTAATGGTTCCACCACAATTTCATCACCAAGCAAATTTTGTTTCACCACATTTCTAATACCAAACACAATCTCAAAACCCACAACCTTTCCCTAATCCAAATCCCAATCAACTTTCAACACCAAATTCCAGTTTTCGTATTGACCAGTTAGATGATGATGAGCCAACAGAAAAAATTGTGAGTACTAGTCAGTATTCGAAATTTGATCTTGGTCAATACCCAGACTTTGATCTTGGTCAATACTCAGATTTTGATGATGTTTCAGAAGAAGAAACAGACCCTACGTGTAATGATTTTGATATTGGTCAATACCCGAATTTTGATGATGAAACAACCGCTACCGAGGAAGATGTTGTTGATGATAATGAGGAGGAAGTTACGACTGTGAATGAACATGTTGAACATCCATTATGTAATTCATATAACCCTGAAGAAGAAAAAGAAGAAGAAGAAATCCCCAAAGAAAAGTCCCCGAAGAAAATGCCACGGGAGTATAACTGGAATATGCCAGAATTACTTCAGATACCGGAAGAAGAGTTGGTAAAGATAGCAGTTGATTGTTACACAAAAATTATTCGTATCAAGAAAGATGATTGTTTTGATACAAAGGAAGACTTGAAGATAGCTTTGTATACGAAATGTGTGGAAGATGGCTATCAACTAAAAGTTAACAAATCAAGCAAAGATCGTTTCGAAACAAGGTGTATGATTGACAAAAACTGTACGTGGCATATGATTACAAAGAGGATAAAAGATTGCGAAATGTTTCAAGTTAGGACTTTTATTGATAAACATACATGTTCAAGAACCCAAGTTTTTCCTCACCAGAGACAGGTAAACAAAAAGGTGTTGGGTGATTTTCTGGCTGAGTTAATGTTTTTGAATGGCAGGGTATATCGGGGACATGAAATTATGACTGACATGAATGCTCGGTTCAAGATTAGTATCTCATATTCTCAAGCTTGGAGAGCCAAATGTTATGCCTTGGAATTGTTGAGGGGGTCGCCAGAAGCATTATATTTGCCCAACTGTCGGCTTATTGTCACAATTTAAAGCTGAAAAATCCTGGGTCGGTAACTCATATCAAAATAGATAGAGATGTATGCTTTGAGTTGCTGTTTATCGCCATTGGTGCTGCGGTTAGTAAATCAATATAATTTTGTTGACTCATTTTATTAGTTACATGCATTTCACATTTAAATTATTATATTTCTTGTGTATATGCTTTTGTAGATTCGTTCGTTTATTACTTGCATGCGCCCAGTTATTATAGTTGACGGAGCACATTTAAAAGGTCGATAACTTGGAGTAAACTTATTAGCAGTAGCCATGGATGCTAACAATGGGATACTGCCAATAGCTTACGGGGTTGGCAAATCTGAAACCTCTGATTCATGGACATGGTTTATGGGGCATCTTAGGGATTGCATAGGTCCTATTAGCAATCTGACAATCATATCCGATAGGGCAAACTCAATTGACAACGCTGTTAGAAGATGTTTCCCAGATGCTTTTCATGGACTTTGTGGTGTTCATTTGTATAGAAATCTAAAATCAAGGTCAACTGGTATAAAAAATCACAAATGGACATATTGGAATGCTGTAAAAGCTTATCGGGAAGTGGATTTTAATAAGCATATAAATTGTTTAAGACGTGTTTTGCCTCAGTGTGCTCAAACACTAGAAGATGTCGGGTTTGAAAGATGGTCAAGAGTATATCAACTTGGAGCAAAATATGGTTTCATGACGTCTAATAGTGCAGAATCAATAAACGCTCTAAGTCGTCATTCCCGGAAATTACCCATTACTATGTTAATGGAGTTTTTTCGAGCCTCTATTCAACAGTGGTACTACAAGAAAAGAAACCATGCAGGTATTATTTCTTTAAATTCGTAACTTATCATATATTTTACTAAGTATTATTTATTTAAATTTACAGGAACATTGGAACATCGTGTTACACCATGGATTGAAAAAAAGATAACGAAACGTGTTGTGAAGTCAACGTCATGGAGAGTTGAACCATGTTCAAACACTTTGTTTGAAGTACTGGATAATAACTTAAATGGGCTTGTCGATCTAAATGCAAAGACGTGTAGTTGTATGAAATGAAAAACATCTGGTTATCCGTGTGGCCATGTTATAAAAGTTGCTCTTCATCTAAACCAAGATGATTCAAGCGCATACGCTATGGATTGCTACACTACATAAGTATATCGACAGACTTATGCCGAGATTATCTACCCAATTCCACATCCTTCTGAGTGGGACATATCAGATGACTTACAAACAGTTTTGCCACCAGCCATGGACAGAAGGCTACCTGGCCGACCAAAAAGTCACGATCGTATACCGTCTAAGGGTGAAGAGAAGAAGAGATCGACATGTAGTTGGTGCAAGGAAAGTGGTCATACAAGGTTGACATGTGGATCACCAGTGCCATTACAAACATCTTTTCCTCTACCAAAATATGGATCCTCATCAAAATCCAAAGCTCATATGGTGTCAAGAAAAAGGCAATCAAAATCAAAATCCCAATCACAACCGGCTTCACCTTTTGGGACTATTAGCTTAGGTGATTTTTAAATGCAAACGTTGTATTATGTGTATTTTATGTGTAAACTTTTAACATTTTCAGTTAGGCATGTATTAATAACTTGAGTTTGAACATTGCTATGATATGTTCAGTTGTTATCACTTATTACACATTCATTTGAATATCGCAACGCGAATTTGACTATCGCAACGCGAATTTGACTATCGCAACGCGAATTTGATTATCGCAACTCAAAAATCGCAACGCGAATTTGACTATCGCAACGTGAATTTGATTATCGCAACGGGTATTTGACTATCGCAACGGGTATTCAACTATCGCAACGAGAAAATCGCAAAGCGTATTAGACTATCGCAACGCGAATTGAATTTCTCGTTGCGATTTTGGCTTTCGCATTGCAAAAGTGTACCTTCAACAGGTCTTTTGCCTTCAATATGATGTAAATTGAAATCAACAAATCAACTTTTACATTTCAATCAATTAAACAAGCACAAATAAGAATTATTTACACATCAATATTAAACAAATCAACTTTTACAAATCAATTTTTACAAATCAATTAAACAAGCAAAAATTGCTAATAATTCTTATTTTTTCCTCATCAATTAAACAAATCAGACTTTTAAGAATCAATTAAACAATAAAAAAAAGTGTACCCCAGACAGTTGTTTATGCACCCATACATCAATTTCACGCAGCTCACTTCAGGATTAACTTGCAGAAACCAAACATTTGCTCA